GCACCCCAAAAATTTGTATTTTTCGGTGGCTTGTCTATTTTACACTATCGCTCATTTCATTTTAATCTGCCACAATTGTCATGCTTGCGTGAGCAATTTAATAAAGCATGCTATCACTATTACTTTTTATTAAGGCAAATACATGAAATTTACATTTAAAAATATATAAAGTTTTGCATTATAATGTTATTGCATTTATTACATCTATCGCTGTTATTTATTTATCTAATTTATTAATACCCTCTTCATACCAGGTCTTTAAGCAAAGGCTTGCGGAGGCATTTTCTTCAGACAACCTGTTACGTATTGGGTTAATTGGATTTTTTGCTTTCGAAAATATTTCTTCGCTCAGTAGTAAGGTTCAACATTTGCATTAATGGCTTGCATAATTTCATTCCACCTCTCTACATAGCTATTTAAAATGGGTTTTAATAGTAGAGAGACCCGTTTCCATTGAATAAGGTTTATTTCAAAGTTTGCAATGTCGTTTATAACCGATTTTAGTAAGTTCGTTCCAGAAATGGGGTTTTTTTAATCGCTTTGGAGGATGGTTCATTATTTCCATAAGTGTTCCAGGTTCAATTACATTTTGAGATATCAAACTTGAAGAGGTAGGTTCAGTTGAATCAATAAGTTCATCAAATGTATTGTCTTCTTTCCATCGAAACAGTGAAATTAAGTAAAATATATATACATATATATATAAAGAGAAAGTCGCATATTTATATTTAAAAAAAAATTAAAATGATAAATTGTCACCACATTAAGTTAACTTTAATTAAAAAAAAAAAGTCAAAAAACTGATTTTTGTTCGTCATGATAGTAATTTTTGTTCGTCATAACGATAGTAATTTTTGTTCGTCATAACGATAGTAATTTTTGTTCGTCATAAGGATAGTAATTAAAAGTCTACTAATCAATCTGATCTATTTCAAACTCGTTTGGAGCATGATATGATAATGAAAATCATGTGATCGTTAAACTCGAGTTCCATTGGGTTCGGTTCCAAACAGGGTCGAACTGAGTTCGGGCAAGTGCTCTAGAAAAAATGATAAGTGAGTTTATTATTTATTTCATTCAAAAAAACTTTTTGTCTCAAACCACCTTTTTGTTTGCATTGGTTTATTAAACTTTCTATTAAAGTAAATAGAGTTACTGTTCAAACGTTTTCATGATTTTTATTATGTTATTCGTTATCAACACACTAACGTAGTGCCGTTATATTATGTTTTATTATAAATCATTTAGAATTTACTCAAGCATTGATTGAGGTCTTTACTTTGATCTATCGCATTAATTGAGCATCACTACAATTATTAGAAAATCACAGGAATAGTTCTACTTGAGCGTATTTCAACTAATGTTTTGACCCGGGTGGGTCAACCCGTGGGTTACCCGTTGGTTGACCAGTTGGTTGACCTGCGGGTTGACCAACAGAATGAAAAATCACTAAATGCATACACCGCATATATCATCTGACTTCAAATTTAAATATCCATGTTTTTTTGAATGTGTTTGAGAACTCGTATATAGAAGATATGCAATTTTAGAACTGACGTCTAAAATTTTTTCTTTATTTTTATAATGTTTATATTACCAGATGTTCCAAAATTAATGAAAACAACTGTAATCATGTAACTTATAGTTGAGTGGCGATTAATTTCCTGCATAATTTTTCAATCCCTAGTGATTTCTATGGACCCGCATAATTCGTTTAAAATTTGCAGTACGCTGTAATGACCAGATCGTAATTCTGAATACGGGTAGTTTTTTAAACTGATACTAACCCGTCAGATAACCCAGCAGGTGGCCTGTCGGATGACCTGACAGGTGACCCGTTGGGTGATGTTTTGAAGCTGACCCGATTTTCACCCGGGTGACGCATTGCCCACTCGTCGGATGACCCGGGTGAAGATTTTTTAGGCGGTCAATTCACTAATTTCAACAATACCGTCATTCGCATTATTGACTTTTATCTAAAATGTTATGAGAATAGCTAAAATTACGTCATAATACTTGTGAACTATTTCGATCACTATGAAATTGCAACCCAAGTTTCGACTTTCGCCAATTATAAGCTTCTAAACTTTGTCTAACAGCTATAACCTCCTCTAAAATGGCGTTTGTGTTACTAATAACTCTCAATCCAAAATTTATAACAAGTTGTGTTCATACATTATAATTACCCTCCGCAATAAATTATCTCTTTGCTCTAATAAAAGATTAAAGTTATGAAAAAATACTAATCGATATTTGAGATAATTGTCAAAATATATACATTCCAAACGAAAGAATTATTTTCATATTAATATAATTGCAAGTTTCTAGTTCTATATGCAAATAAAATTTTAAAGTTACAGTACAAATGTTCCACCAAATATCAATGCATTTATTTAGTACCCGAATTATACCTTATTATAGTTTATTTGTAAGACCGAATTAATTACATAACTACAAAAAATTATTAGTTAAGTTTTTGCTTCAGCTGTCACACTACTACCGTTTTAACTAACATTATGGAAAACGAATCTGTTGAATCCTCACCGGAGGATCAATATATTGCAAATATTAAGAGTGTCGCTTCTTTAATAGCTTCTCAAACTACCAATTGTAAATTCACTGCCCAAAATGCTAAAACATATAAGAGTGATTGTATATCTTTTGCGGGACGGTTACAAACCATTGGTGAAAAAGTTAAAGAATTTCTAAATATAATAGAAAAAGAGGATCCATCGATTATTGGATTGAAGTGGGATTTAAAGGGAATTGCTAATGGATTTGAAAGTGTTAAAGGTAATTTTTTAATGTTTATGAATGAACGAATTAATACTTTATTACTTTGCTAATATTTTATTATTTTTATATAAAAAATAGCCATTATAATGGATGTTCGTATGTTCATACAACAGCAACAACTTCCTGTGCGTCCCAATGCTGTGCCTAATCTCGCTGAAGATTTTAGAATAAAACGTTTAATTACTGATCTTAATCGACGTCTTGATAATGCTATCGGTTCAATATCTGTTGCTTTTTCGCCCATGAAAATTCAGAAAGAATTATCTATCGAAGAACAGGAAGAATTTTTGAAAAAATTAAAAGATGATGTTGAAAGAGAGTTGAAGATATTAGAAGAGAAACGAAAAGAAGATGGAAACAAAGATCAGGCCACTCGTTGGCTAGAAATTGCCATTGAACAACAACACCTAAGGTTTATTGATTATAACCAGATCTTCATTGACAAGTTTTTGATGAAAGGAGGGTGAGTTTCTTTTCGAGAATTTGATTTTTACTTTAAGAAAAAACGATTTCTGATTATTTGTATTTAGGTTTGGCATTGTACATCTTGCTTATTGGGATGATACTCCTGTTGTATTAAAACAATTATTTGACCAAAAGGATTTCGTTGATGAAATCAGGCTACATAAGCGCGTTCACGATGGTGATTATATAGTAAAATTTCATGGTATAACGAGGGATACTGATGGTAATTTGGGAATGATTATGAAATATGCAGCAAATGGTAACCTTCGAGATTATCTTAAACATCATAGTACATCTTTATCATGGTATCAGCGAGTTCTATTGGCTAAACAAATTGCAATTGGATTATCTTTTATTCATCGTGAAAAAATATATCATAGAGTAAGTGATTATTATATATTTGTATAACTGAAATCTTTTTGAGAATGTACGTACAAATGATTAAATTAAATTTAATCTTTTTCAATCATTTGAATAGGACTTTCATAGTGTAAGTTAAACTATGCTATTTATATTAACGTTAAGTATATTATCGATCATGGAATTAACTTGAAATGTTCTTAAATAGGGTAACATTCTTGTCGATGAAAATGGTGGTCCCATGATCACTGACTTTGGTCTATCACGTGTCTCTGATCGTGATAAACGCGCATCTATATCCGAAAAAACTTTTGGTTTAGTAGCATACACTGCTCCCGAGAGACTCAAAAATTCGAAATATCCATTTGATGATAAATGTGATATATATTCGTTAGGTGTAATATTTTGGGAAATTTCCACATGTCGTATGCCATTTCATGGTCAAAATGACTCAAATTTGGCGTTTAAAATTATGCTTAACGAACGGGAAACATTTCCTCCTGATACACCAAAAAAGTATGTTGATTTGGTTAAGAGTTGTTGGCATGAGGATCCTTCAAAAAGACCAACAATGACAATAATAAAACAGTCTCTTAATGAGATTTTAGTAAATTTGTCTAAAGAAATTACTCCCAAAGAAAATACAAAGTTGGTGATAAATGAAGTTGAAATTGATGTACCATCATCTGACACCTCAAATATAAATTCTGATTATCATACAGCTCCTACTTCTACTTATGATAGTCAATTCCAAAGTAAGCACGAAACTCATGAAATGGCAGAAATCGATGGATCATTATATTTGAGCGCCTTAGAAGAAATTGATTTATAATTCATATATATATATATATTTACATATACTGTTGTCCCAAGTTTTTTTGTATTTTTTTTTACTGTGTATCGAGCTTTCTAGAATCAATTGTTTTTCATTCGTCATTAATAATAATAATATTGGCCTACAGCTTTGATAACCTGTAATATATGTCATTGTAGGGGTATATAAAAAGCGCACATTTCCTTGAACTATTTAAAAACCACTTGGCAATTTATAAAACTTATTATGAAGAACAAAGTCACCACCAGATTTTTAATTTTGTTTCTGTAAAAAATTATAGCATTTTAAAATCTATTAAAAATTGAAACATATAGTAGTTATATATAAAACAATAGTACTTTTTAAAATGCATTAACTTTTTACACAAAAAAATTTTTTTAAAAAAATATTTGGCAAATTTATAAAACTTATATAGCACCCAGAAAATGTGTACCAGGTTGGGATTAGATAATGTTCCGGATGATGGGTCGGAAATAACTCTTCGAATTTTTTAATAAAGCGTTTTTTATTTTATTTTTTTATCTATACACTAAAATTTATTTTTCGATAATTTAATTATTTAACGCAACTATAATTCATATACAACGCACATAAATAATACAAATAAAAAATTTGATTTTCAACATTAAAAATATAGCCCTAGCTTATGCTCTTTATCCTTAAATTGGTTTGTTTCTTGTGATATTTTTCGATAAATTATGGCTCTTTTTGCGGGTTGTCTTTTCTTACGTTCATTTCGGATGGATCCATATTTTCCTTCTAACTACGAGATTTTCTTTTTTAAATTGATGCGGGTTGAACTCCGATTTTTGAACCACTGCGAATATTCGACGATTGTGATTAGGGATGGGCAATGTAATAATTATGTAAGCGATAGCTAAAATTTAACCCTTACATATTTTATAAATTATTACATATTATTAAGTAATTTAAGAGTCATCGATTACAAATAAACTATAAACTACATATATGCAAAACTGTTTGAGTTAAATAAAAAGATCGATCGTGCCGGAATTAGCTATTTTTGCTACACAAGTTATGTTGATATCACCTACTTCTGCTGAATTCTGTTGAAAGTGAAAGATTCTGGTCATTTATTGCAAATATCCATTATTAAAAAATATTTTATATTAATTATATTTTTTATAATCACAGTACTTTGTATCTTAAAAGTAACTATATTAATTAAAGTTAATAATAATAAATAACAAAAATTATATATCGCATCGGTGGTGTTCAACACCACATATATGAAAATTGGGTAACATGTAGATCAAATAATTTTTATTAAAATAAAAATTAAATTTTATATTAGGGTTAGGATTTAGGCCTGGGATGGGGCAGGGGCATAGTTTATATCAAAATTTTACAAGAAATTTTTTTTAGAGCCCCAAAGGTAGTTTTATAGATGAATTTTTGAGTTATAAAGTATAGTGGTGTTGAACACCAGTGATGTGATTTAACAATGCTATAAATAATATTAATTAATATATTAAATAAATTAATATAGAAGTAATATAAAAATTAAGATTGCAAAAAATAAATAAAATATATTTTAAGTTATTAGTATTTATTTTAAATTTTTTAAAATATTTAAAAATATTATATTAAAAATAATAATGATAATACAATTATTATAAAACACACCTATGGTGGTTTTGCATCTATTATATGTTTTTATGTTTTTTAAATTTTCTAAGTTTTTATAAGTTTTGTATATAAAATTTTTAACACCAATTTTTTCACGTTAAAGTTAATATTAAGGTTAGGATTAGAGTTTGGGAAGAGTTTTTGGGTCATAGAACATTTTTACTTAGAACACCTCACATCGATTAATTAGCCAATTTTTGAGATAATACAACATAGGTAGTAAAACACCATAGGTGCATTTTAGTAAAAGTGTAATAATAAATATGACAAATTAAAATAAAATTAGATTAAAATAAAAATTTTTAATTTTTTAAAGCTATTTTTAAAGTTTTTTTAGTATTAGAGTTAGTGCTTAGAGTTGGGATTCATCAGAAAAATTTTTTAAGTGCTATGCATTGATGTATATCTGGGTGATTTAATCAATATATAACAATTATTATCAATTATAATCAATAGAGTAAAAAATCGATTAATATTGATAATTTAAAAACTTTGATATTTTTAGTAAAACTTTGAAGGTGAATATCTCAATAACTAGTAATTCAAATTAGCCCAAATTTTTATCACAATTAGATATGATATACATCTATAAAGTATTAAAGTTTTATTTGATTTGGCTTTGTAGTTCTTGAGAAATCACTTGTATATAATAGTTAATATTTTTTAAAAAATTGACTATAATATACAAGCAATTTCTTGAGAACTACTAAGCCAAATCAAATAAATCTTTAGTATTTTATAGATGATTATCATATCTAATAGTGTTAAAAATTTGGGCCAATTTGAATTACTAGTTATTGAGATATTTGTCTTCAAAGTTTTGCTAAAAATATTAAATTTTTTAAACTATCGATATTAATTGATTTTTTATTCTATCAATTATAACTGATAATAATCATTATATGTTTATAATAGATTATAATTGATAGTGTTACAAATTGATATATAGCTCTCCTGTTAATTATAATCAATTATTTGCTATCGATATATATTGATTTTTCTAATTATAATCGTTATCTATCCCTTAAAAATTTTCCTGATATTATTAATAAAAGAGTATATATAGGTTTTATAAATTTTAAAGATAAGCAAAAGAAGTTTTTAGTTTTATTTTAATTGTAATTTACAACAATAAATACTTATTTTTTTTGTTATTATACTTGTAATAACAATTTGCTAAAATTTATTATATATATTATATTTAAAATTTTTATTTTTAAGGGTGTGGTGACATAGTGCAGTTGGCAAGTTGTCACCCCCCAAATGGCAGATCTAGGGTTCAAATCCCACTGGCGATGATTTTGAAAAATTAAGATTTGTTTCGGAAACAATTATTCGACGATCGGTTGAGTATATCACCTGTAGTCTTGGTACCACCATCTTGAATGGGAGCTTTTGGGCAAAGTATAAAACCAAGGAACTGGAATAATTGAAACCCATTTGGCAAGTCCCGAGCAAGGAGGTAGTG